AGTTTATTATAGCAAGAATTTGTTTACACCCACACACTTTAAATTCTATGTGATACGAAAACGATAAAAAAATTTATCAAACCAATTATTTTTATATTATACTTTATAAATATAAAATATTTTTATATTATGTTTATATGCTAAATGTTGTTTTATTACTTTAATAAAACAACATTTACGTCTAACGTTTGCAAATTTGAAAGTTTGCTTTTCAATCATGGAAGATTCAATATTATAAAGTCAGCGGTTAAAGTAGAGAGGAACGCCGTTCCTCTTTGGCCAACAAATCACAAAATCGTTCCGCATATCACAATAAATTTGGAGGAGGTCCCAAAAATTCAGAATGTCATTGAAAACGATATTTTTCACAATGTGAATATACAAAAAGGAAGAAACCAATCTTTAAATTATCAGCCCAACTTCAGAAGCTGCTAATAAGTTTTAAGTCACGCAAAAAGTCTGTCGATCTTAACCCAATCAGTGGAATGCTTTGAAACATATTTATAGCCAACATATGATCAAAGTGAAACACAAGTCTTCCCAGATTTTTTGGAAACTCTGCTGAAAAAGTTATGCAACTTTCTGCTTGATGATTTCTCTTTAACAAAACATGAACTTCGTGACTTAAAGAACATGCTGTTGACGTTTTAATGATCAAAAACATGCACCCGTTTCTTAAGATCATTTTTTCCAAAGATTAGTGCGATTTATTTAAACATTATTCCTCATTAATCATTATACCTTTGAGCAATGCAGAAAATTAAAATACCTCTGAGCGATGCAGAAGACTTTTTGATCATCAATGTTATCCGTACAGATGTACAAAGCCTATTGTCAGTAAAAGTACATCATCATTGATGTTGATCAACATTATAGGTCCTACACTGAAAGAACTCCCACTTAGGTAGACAAAAAGCTGATTGCGAGGAAGGACCATGTAGAAAGAAAAATAAATTGACTGAATTAAAATCATTTTGGAAAAAGCTACAGTGTTTCCAACCACTTATAACACTTAGAGAATTTTGAATTTTATTTAATATTTATTTATTATTGAATATATTTATTTATTGTTTATGTTATTACGTTTTTTGTTTGTAAACCAAATTAGCTTTTTTCAAAATATTTTTCTCTAACAAGTGTGAAAGTAAATAATAGTTTAGCCATTATCCGAGACCTCGAAATACAGCAAAAATGCACCTATAGCAAAATTTGAATTACCCAATTTAAAAGGCGGTGGGGCTGTTTCGCATATCTTATAACACACACTTTGAACTTTTTAACATTGTTCCACTTGATTTCCTATTCTACTTTAACCCCTGTCCCAAGTTAATTGATAAGTGATCTATGCAAATGTTTTATTTGTGTATAATGTAACACAAATATAAAATCATAACACTGTATCTGTAATCATTTCGCCGTATTTCCAATCTAAGTAATTAAGTAATATAAGTACCTATAGCAATTAAATTTAAAAAATTATCACTTTTATAAGAAGTGCGATTTTATATTGGTACTCATGCCTAACTTAGTGAATATAACACTCGTAAAGTATTTGCAAATCCCAAAAAATATTGTTGCTAAGCAAAATAAAGGTATCCATAGTAACAAAAATAAAAATTCAACACCTTCATAAGAAATGCAGACATCATATTAGTACTGATGCTAATTTTAGTGAATATAGCCCTAATATCAATTATGTTATGAGATTTGTCTAGTAAAAGTGAACTCTGCCCTGGCCCACTGTGCACCACTTTGATTTCCGTATATTATTTTTTGCGCTACTTTTTTCAATATACATCCCACTAACATGGATACTTTCTAAATTAAAAATATGGTAAATAATTGTATTTAAATATAATTTTTAATATGATAAATTTAAAATAGTATTTGATCTATTTATTTTTAAGAATTTTTAAAAAAATATATGCTAAACTCTGATAATAACTTTACGCCACCAACCAGAGTTACTGATTATCCTGCTGTAATCATTGACCATATTTTTTCAAATTTAACCCTTAGCAAAATTATTTCAGAAAACTAACATCTATTTCTAATCACCTTCCTCAATTTCTTAGTTGTTCTATTTTCAGAAACTATTTTCAGAAACTCAGTCAAAATTTATACCGCAGAAACTTTAAAAATTATGACAAAGAATCATTTAAACCTGAATTATCAAAAGTTGACTAGAATGACGTTCCCAATAAAAAGATGTTTACTCAAGCTTTGAAGCATTTATTTCTCAAACAACAATGTTGTTAGATTGTCACGTAGGAATAATAAAATCAATTCAAATTTGAATTGATTTTATTATTCCTTTTATTCTTAAGATTTTCCTTTTCAAAGGAAAATCTTAAGAATAAAATTTCCAACAAATATAATTAAACTATATTTAAAACTATATTTAAACGCTATATATAAACCTTAATTTATCTAATTAAACTGAGTAAAAAATTACTTTTCAAAAAATTATTTCCAGAAAATGTAAAAAATCTTCGTGAAACTTGGAAAGGCATAAAATTCTAATAAATGTCAAAAATGCCAAAAATGTACATCCAAACTGCTTACAAGTTACAAAACATACATAACTGAACCAACTCTTATGTGCGAAGTGATTTATAATATTTAACGCTTTTTCTAAGATTTCTGTTAATTGTTTACAAGTTTTTTGAGTTTTATAATTTGGGTGAATAAGTGAATATTAAATTAATTCTTTATAGACAAAAGGATATCAAACTGGATGAAAATACAGTTATGTTTTTTGTACAATTCATACGTATTGTGTCATTGATTTACAAGGGTGACATTTTTCACATTATTGTTGATGTTTTCCAGTGAAATTTTCATAACCTTTCCAAGTTCTGGTTTAGATGGATTATTTAATCGAAATTTAGTATTGTTGGCAAAAGCATCTTGGTGATCTTTTATCGTTATAAATGCGTTATTTATTGCAAGACGTTTTATTCGGCTGTCGATACCTAAGTCTTAAGCAATTACTTTAGCCTCTATATATATATTATTTTATTGCGAAAATATTATGTGATTTATTGGCAAAAAAAAAAAAATTTTTTTGGATAATTTAATTTTGCAAATGTCATTATTTAGTTGTTTTTGAAACTGGTTATAGGTATAAGTAAAAGAAAAATTTTATGTATCAATTTAAGTAGATCGTTTTCGAAAATAAAAAGGTCAAAATTTTGTGGTGGAGATTTTCTTATTTTAAAATTATATTGGTAAGGTTCTTAGGTATCGACAACCTAATGAAGTGTTTTGCAATGAATACCGCGTTTATCACAATAAATGATCTCCCTTCCTCCTCAAAGAAGTTGATTTTCAAGTTATAGTCGTTTTTTTGAGAACAAATGAGGATAACTATCAAACTATCTGTTATATGCCTTTACCCCCATATCATTCGGTTCAAATGCATTCCATAAAAGTAAATCTTATGTACGTATGAATGATCCAAATCTTCTTTTTTTTTTTTCTCTCTTTAGATTATAATCTTCAAAAACTGTTAAATTTGGAAGTATCGTTAAATAAATTGGCTCTTCTTAAAAACTTTATTTTTTGAGAAGAGTCTAGTTATGTTTCTAAAACATTGTTAAAATCCCAGTGAGCACACAACGTCGATCAAACTTTGGATTTATGTTGGGTTAATTTTTTTTTTATCAGAATTACAACATTGTAATAACTATTGTAATTGTAATGAAAACAATAACAGTAACAATAACTATTGTTATTGTATTAACTTAATTTAGAAACAATAACAATACTTGTGATTTACAGCTATTGTAATACTGTAATGCAATAACAATAAATATTGTATTGCAATTCATCTTTATAAAACAATATCAATATCTGGAAAAAAAATGTATTGTAATGACCCACTACAATAACAATAAATATTGTATTGTAATTCGTCTTTATAAAACAATAACAATATATTGTTATTGTAATAATTGTAAAAATTATTTTAGAGTCAAAATTTAATAAAAGTTTTAACACTCCAGTCTCTGAGATAAGTGACCTTGAAATAGGGTACAACTAATATATAAGTATTAATTCTGTTTCTTTTTTTATTTTATAAACTTTATATAGCTCTATAAAAGTGAGTTTAATTGGGCCTGTATTTCTTTTACTGCTAGGGATAGACATGATTAACTACTACCATTTCTTCCACCAAGTTATTTCCCAGCAAGGACAAGACGTATTCAATACGTATTATTTTAATATTATTCACATCTTTTCTAGAGTAGACGATAAAAATACGCATAAAAAACGAATTTTCAAGATGAGTTTTAGCTGAATATAAAACTTATCTTTAAGAGACGTATTAAATACGTATTATTTCTATATATGAAAGATATCTTTCGCAAACAAATATAATACGTGTTTAAAACGTCTTTAAAAGACTAAAGTCATCATTAAAAAATGTTTTAAATACTTTTTTTTGAAGTTTTTATTTGAGACCACAAAGGCATGCGAAAAAAATGTGTATTCTGAACGTCTTTTGAAGACGACCTTTAGTCGAATATATTTGAATAAAGATAAATACTAATTGTAAAAAATAAATGTTGTTATTCAGCTATTGCTTCTTATTTATTGACTCGATTTATAGACAGCTTTTTGTACATCTTTACGTTCTTGGTTGTTACTCTATTCTCCAGTTAACTTTTTTAATATCATTTTAAAATAAAATTACTATTGTAATTTTGATTTAGTTAACCATATTATGGTCCATAATTATGGACCATAATATGGTTATGGTCCATAATTATGGACCATAATTATGAATCATAATAAAATGTATTGCGTTTTGTGTCGCTGCTCGTGTGATCGTGTTCCGTTATGGGGGGGTCGGCAATGGGGCTTTGTTCCGATAGGTTTGCGTCTTGAGGATGCACTGGTTAGTCTTAGCGATGTACCACGAATCCAACAGCGTAGACTGATGCGGGGGATCGCTTTCGTTGTTGTCGCTCTGCATACCTGAGCAAGGGTCTATATGCGCAGTGTGTAATGATAAAATGTATTGCGTTTTGTGTCGTGTGATCGTGTTCCGTTATGAGGGGGTCAGCAATGGGGCTTTGTTCCGATAGGTTTGCGTCTTGAGGATGCACTGGTTAATCTTAGCGATGTACCACGAATCCGACAGCGTAGGCTGATGCGGGGAATCGCTTTTGTTGTTGTCACCTTGCATACCTGGACAAGTGTACGCGGTGAGGCAGGGCTTTTGTATGAGTTTACCATTTTTCCGTTTGTTGTCGGTTGCTAATATCAATTTGACAAATAAATGTTAGTTTAAGCCGCTAAAGACAAGTTTATTTAAATTTAAATTGAAACCTTGCAGTTTTTTCACTTAGATTTATTGACCTTAAAAACTCGCTTTAATATATTTTGTCTTGCATTGTGGATCTAAGACAAAAATTGCACCTTTTTCAATTAGATTTATTTACCTTAAAAACTCGCTTAAATATATTTTGTCTTGCATTGTGGATCTAAGACACAAATTGGAGCTTTTATTGCATTGTATGTCTTTGATCCCGCGATACTCTTTTCCCTAACTGATTGAGTTAAAATTTATTATCTTAATAATTTAGGACACTTTTGAATGTTCTCTCTTTTTTATATTTTATATATTTTTTATGTTCTCTAAACACAACATTATTAACCAATCACCTTACACTTTCATCCTCCAATCAATTAAGATATTTTTTGACCAATAGCGTTATTATTTACTGAGGCTTCGCTTGAGGGATATTTTGATTAACCGCAAATTTACGTCATACAACATCTGTGTATAATATCACAATTTACATGCGCTCTATAAACTGCTCATTGGCATTGCGCAAAATATCCTTCAAGACTTATTCTTATTCAATATCAAATTATGGTAAGTCTTTTATCTTAATTGTTTTTTATTTTGTTGTGTGTTTGTTTGCCTTCAATTTGTACTTGAGTATTTAGGAATAATTTAACTTATAAGTTTTTTGTATTCTAATGTTACTTCTTGCGCAACGTGTTTTAATAATTTTCTAAAAAGTATATCAGCGTAATTTGTTTAAAATGGATCAAGTTAGGGTATTTGGCTGAGCAGTAGTATGTCCTCTCAAATGTTGCAACATAAGAAGGCTTTGACACAGACGTAGAGGTGGGTTTTATTTGCTTGTTTTGAGGATGTTACCCCGACGGGAGTTTCTAGAAATGAGCATTAAAACATTCGAAACGTCAAATACCAGAGTATTATCTTTATAAGGATCAATACAATGTCCACTTCCTGACGAGAATCTGGTATTATACTACATAATTTTGAATTTTATTTTAACGCTGATGTATTTTTATTTTCTTTCTTTAAACAATCATGCGCGCGTTTCCACTTTATATTAAATGTTTGTTTTTGTTGTTTGTTGTAATACTTCTGCATTAAAGTTGTACTTTTTATCTAAAGAATTGAGTAATTGTGTTATATTAGGTTAATTGTGTATCACATTATGCTTACCACAACGATAGCAATTGTTAATAATTGTTTTGATTTTTGTTAAATGTTTTTGAATATTTATCTGATAAATTCAGATAGGTTTACTTAGATATTCTTTTGTTTTTATCTGTGGCTGAAGGTATTCGGGTTGCATGTAAATAAACAGAATTATTGTATTTGTCGATCTTTGAGTATATAAACTAAATTTAAAACGAATATTTTTATTATAAGGTTGCATGCTTTTAAGGTATTTTTGCACGTTTGCATGCGTCTAAGGCATTTACGTCTAAATATGTTCCACTAGTGACTATACTCACTTATTCTAGTTGCGAACCTGATATGTAAAGAGAACATGATAAGACTGGACTGAGCGAGACTAAGAACCATTATTTACGAACACACAGATTCAAAGCAATAAAAACACTAAATGACACATAAAACTTTAACGTTTAGAACAATACAAACACAAAACACAATAACTCACAGAACACTGCAACAACACGTACTTAAATCTAACATGACCACCACTTACTTAACTCAAACTTAATTACTGAATAGTACCCTTCTTTTAAACAACAACTCTTAATTCTGGACATCTGTCCAAATATTATAATTTATCTTGCACTTCCTTGCACTTATATAAAATATTTCTTGCTTCTCTTAAGACTATTACGGCCTGATGGTTCCATATAAGTGGTGGAACTTTAATAGCTTCCACTGCGAAACAATAACGATTGATTTGTTTTAAAACAATTTGTTGCAGCTTTTTTTTAAATTACATTTTTTTATACAATAACAGTCAAAATAAGCGGTAAACAAGAATGAATTTAACAACATTCAGATCTCACCTTCAGATCTTACCTTTAATATTTTTTCGATTTTAGATTATTTTCCGTAAACCTGATGGCGAATATGAACATTAAAGGGAGTAAACGTAAAGGCAGAGAAAACAAAATATCGTTTGAAAACTTTAAGTTAAAGGACGTTATGTTTGGTGAGATACAATTTATATTGTACATAGTCATTTTTTTCAAAAATGATAAATGCGACACTTAAGTGTCGTATTCAACTATATATATATTAAGCTGACGATATTTTTAATTTTAAATATTTTTGCTTAACTTATTTTAGAAGCGTTACAAGACAGGTATACCGTTAGTGAAAAAGAATTATTTAGAGTTGTCGGGAATAAACTAAAGAATGCACCAGAAAGATTGAACCATTCCATTGATATCTAACATTTATATTATATTATATGTATATAGTTTATGTTATAGTATATAGTTACTTTTTTTAAATAAATAAACAATAATATTATACAATTCAAAATGTTTTAATGTTCTTTTAAGCTTGGTTTCCAATAGTTGTAGAAATGTTGTACAACAGTTCTGTAACAACTTTGTTTTATAATGGAAACGTTGTCTAGCATAGTTGCACAAATTAACGTCGGTTGTACAACACAATTTTTGTGGTAAAACAATGGCTGCGAAGATAGAAATTAATCTATTTCCGCAATAATTATACAACGGTAGATAATACAACAATCTACTCTTCATTTTGCGAACATGTATTACAGATTTGACATCTATAAATAAACAGATTTGCATTTAATACAGAAATTATAGAAACCTAATAATTTTAAATACGTCTTATATACGTCTATTATCAACGCATTTTATTTATCTAATTAATACGAATTATAGATTTGCATTTAATACTTAAATTATAGATATCTGAGACGTATTTTAAATACGTATATTATACGTCTATTACCAACGCATTGTAATCATCTAATTAATACGTATTATAGATTTGCATTTAAGAATTAGAATATACGTATCGAAGAGTAGGACAAAGACGTATTTTATATGTATAATATACGTATTTTTCCTTGCTGGGTTGCTTTTACATTAGGCACCTATCCAATTGTTTCGAAACTTACTCAACTCACACTTACTCTAATATAACTTTGTCTTTTGTTTCCCTTCGGCTTTATGGCTGTATATGTTTCATAAAGTAACTGGACATCTAGTTGCAAAGTTATAAAAGAGTTTAGTTACATAAATCAAGAACCAATATTTATTTGGTGTTCTAAACTGCCTCATTTTTCAAAAATGATCCACACAAAATTTATTGGTACGGTCTGATAGGTGATGAACAATCTGAAAATTTTTTGACAATATCTAGAAAACTTTTTAACAAAAGAAAAGTACTTCACATTTTCAGACAATCTAATCGATAATTACTCAGGTTAATAGTTCTTTGATTCCATAACGATGTAATTGATTACACATTAGCGGTTAGATATATTGAAAAAAAAAAATAATATGTAGTTATTCAATTAGTTGTAGTTAATCAATTAGTTTAGACGCCATCATCCGGTGAAACATGTCAATATCAGTTTAGACAAAATTATAAAAAAATATAAAATTTTACTTCTTAAAAAAATAATTATTTAATTAAAAGCATATGATAAGTTATATATTTGTATGATTTTGAATGAATATTATTAATGTTAGTTCTAAATAAACTATTATTGAAACAGTTATATTATTGAACTCAAAATAAATAAAATTTATATATGTAAATGGTTTCTAGAAACCTAATATTTATTAAGTATACGTAGTATATATACTTCTTTGGCTTCCCTGGCTTCACTTCACTTCTCAAAATAAATAAAATTTATATATAAATGCCTGTTGAAAACGAGCGTCACGAGCACTCCTAAATTATCTAGTGCCCAAAGAATAATAAATGCGTAAAAATTGAGTCTAAATACTATAAAATACAATAGCTATTAGACTTTGAAATAGTAATATAATACACTCGGTGTAGTTAAGGCACTTTTAAAATAATAGAGCGTCTGTATGATATTTTGTTGACTGCGACATTTTTCCGTTAAATAGTCTGGTCTGTGAATTATGAAAAGACAAAAAAAAATGAAAATGATAAATTTTGCGGTATGATAAAATATAAATGAGAAAATCCAGACCGATTAAATAAATTCATATTAATGCCACCGAGCGGAATTGATCTAAAGCATCTAAAACAGTGTGCGTTAGAATTACTATTACGAGTAGTAAAATGATTTTGAAAATTATATATAAAAAAGAAAATTTTCTTTAAATATTATAAAAACCTTAAGCAAAAAAAAATTATAGCATTTAAAGATCTTGTTTGGACATAATATGCTGACAAAATCATGCTAATTCCAAATAAAAGTATTCGAATATTTTGTAAATCGCCTTAATTACACTGAGCATTAATGTACTTATTGTCATTGTATTACATCACAGCAATACAATACAATAGTTATTGTAATTGTTTTACATCACAACAATACAATACAATAGTTAATGTCATTGCATTACATCACAGCAAAACAATACAATAAATTGAGAGCTTCAATGTATTGTTAGAAAAAAAAACAATACAATAGTTATTGTAACTGTTTTTATTCACAGCAATACAATAACCATAAATAATGTTTTAATTGCATCTCTGGTATTACAATACAATATTATTGTATTGTAATTGTTATTGTATTTAATTTTTACAATAACAATAACAATAGTCCTAACCCTAATTGTAACGTCGTTAGTTACATTAGCGTCAAAGTTATTACAACGTTTTAATAACGTTGGTTACACGCAAAAAAAAATTTATGGAGTTACAACGTTATAATCATTTTTTTCACTTTTATTTTTTCTTAAAAAATCAAATTCTTTGAATATTTAGTTTTTGATAAATATAGTAATAAATTGTAATTTATGGCTTTAACTTTCCACCAAAGCCGAGTAAATTTTACTATATTTGAATTTTTTTTTTATAAAATGTTACCACATATATTAGTAAATATTTCTATTATCAGCACGACTATGTAGTGTAGCGTACGATTCGTGATTGCTGTTCGAGTTCCAATGACTCCTAACGTTTTATTAAAAACACGTTGCCTTTACACCGAAATTAGAACGTTGATTAACGTTGTAAAATCTAACGTTTTAAGTTGGAAAATCAAACATTGGAAAACTTAACGTTATCTATCCTTTTGATTTTGAAAGTTAACGTTTATGATGCAACATTGTTGCAACCTATGAAGTAACGTTACTAACGCTGTTCCAACGTTGGTATGCCACTTGCTTGTAATTATTACAACTATTTTTATTTACTTTTTTCTTTTACTGTTACTTTTTATTGTAACTATTATTTTTTATTTAGACTGTTATTATTATTTTTCATTCGTTAATTTTTTTGCTACATCTTTTAGTAATATGTTATACAAAGTCATACATAATATAATACACATATATTCATACCAGAAATGTAAAGTAGTGTCAAACAATTTTCCTTAAATTTTCTAACTTGATTCAAAATTAGTTTTCCTTGACAAGTTGTGTCTAGGTAATTAATTGAAAAAAAATTTATTACAATTAAAAAAAAAATTATTGGTATTTAAAAAAAGTTAATTACTATTTGTTTAAATTTGTTTGAAAAGTTGTAATATTCGATTAGCAAACAGTGCTATTTGTTTGATAAATAATAATATTCGCTAAACGAATACTACAAGTTGTTTAATGAATAGTCCTCTTTCCTTTAACGAATTTTAATATTCGTTTAACAAATAGTATTGTTGTTAATTCCGAACGTACATATCGAATTCCAAAAAATAACATTCAATTGAAAATAGTAAACAATTTAAAAGTTATACTAGCGTAGACCTCTAGCTTAGAGTAATATAAAAATAATTTTTTAATACTAAATTGCTTTTATATTTTGATATAAGGGTATAACATTGGGTTGGTACATTGTGGGCATTATCTATTTATTAGAACCTGTCTTCCATTACTTTTTGGTAATGAGTTAAAAAAACTCACCTTCACTGTCATTGTATGTTTCTGCCAATTAACGACAGTTAACAAGCAGAAATCTTAGCTATAAGTATCAGGTGAGTTGCAGCCTCAGCGAATGCTCCCCATTAATTGAATTGGAAGCTTGTAGTGCTTTTTTACTATTGAGCAATGCAGATTTTTATCTCTTATACAAGTGTGTTTTTAAATAGCAGCAATTCAAGGACTTAACATTGTTCAGTATTCCCTTAACTTTGTTTCTTAAAATAATTATTTTATACTTCTCCATACTATCATAAACACGCTATTCTTCGTCTTCAAAAGTATCGCAGTTTTTATTCATTTGAAGGCGGCAACCCTGTCTGTGCAAATTTGATAATTTTTTAAAAACTAAAATGAAAAAGTTGTAATACTCAAAAAAAATTAATTTGAAATATCAAGTTACAAAATTAAAACTAATAAAAGTTGTTCACAGTCCTAGCATTCAAATTCCATTGTTTCGTGATAACTGATAATACATGGAGTACCCGACCAGTTTGAACACTTTTCACATGGAACCCATTTGCTGCTTGTAGCTTTGCCCCAAAGGCTTTTGCAAGAATAAAAAAGATAATTTATCTGATAGGGATTAAAATTCGCGGCAATAAGATACTCAATATTTTGACATTTTTTTGTTTTTTTATATACCTTAGATTGTTTTCGTGGTTTACCAAGATTTAGAAGCTTTTTTTCTTCTTTTTTTTTAAACCTTAGTATCACGAAGATGGCTGCGTCTAGTTTTTTTTTTTTATCAAATAACTTTTTTGGCTGCTTTTTCCCTAGATTTTTTTTTTTTAAGCAGCTTGCTTAGCTTCATGATACATTGCAGATAATTCAGTCATATTATAACATGTTGTTCTTTTAATTATTGCTCCTTTTTCTTTATTACCGTTAAAAGGTTTTATCCAATCTCTAATCACACTATGCACAAATTTATTCATATTAAAAGATGCTTATTTAACAGAATTTTTGATTCTATTCAGTTCTTTGAGCTTCTTTTGTTGAAAGTCTATTCATAGAGTTTATTCAAATTAATCTAATAGTATTATCAAGTGAATCTTGTAAATCAACTTTCTAGAAAAATAAATGTTAATTTTGTCATTTGTCCCGTCTTGAAAATAAGCGGTTGGTACGGTTGGTACGGTTGCAGTTTTTTGTAAAGTTTTTTTTTTTTTTTTTTTTAACATCTTCACTTCCAACATGGCTGCAAGCAACCACTAATTAGTGTTAGAAGTTACTGCAAGAGAAAAGATTAAGATTGTAGAGCAAGGTAACGATTGACAGACTACTTAAAAGATTGCAAATTATATGAATTAGGAAAGCAAGATGAAGGAAGCGAATCCAAAGAACTGATGATCGAAGAAAAAACTAGACGAATAAGAGTTTTTGGAGCACTTAGGAACATTAACAGAAAAATGATGAGACTTAATTGAATCACGAGTAACACGAAAATGAATTTTAGTAGATGGCACAAGAGACGCTAGCTCTTTAGAGTAGTGCTCATTATAGTATTTGTAGAAAAGAGAATGAGAAGCAACATTACGACGATGTGACAGAGGTTGAAGGTTGGTTGCAAGAGCAGGTCCAACTATGTTTACAATGCGTTTTTGCACCTTGTCTAAAAGAGAAAGGGCATTATTAGAAGATCCGCCCTAGATATGGCAAAAGTATTCCATACAAGGTCGGATTTGAGATTTATAGAGATACAGAATAGAATCCAGAGTAAGAAAGTGTCGAGCTCAATAAAGAGATGCAACTTTAGCAGATGCTAATTTTGCAACGGATTTGATATAAGGTTTCCAAGAAAGATCAGAAGTGAGAGTTAATCCTAGAAGATGAAGGGTAGATGACTTATCGAGTACATTACCGTTCATAAATATAGGAAGGTCTAAACTATTGCGATAACGATTGGCTGAAAAAAATTGAGTTTTATCTGAATTAAAGTTCACCAGCCACTGTGAGCCCCATGCTGTAGCAGAAGTGAGATCCTTTTCAAGCTCAAATGCCCCCTGCAAGCAATCAGAGGGAGTTGTTTACTAAGTGAAAATATATAAGTTATTTACAAAGTGGAGTTATACCAGTATTTTCTACTACGACATTCATTTTTTGCTTTAAACATTTATTTGCAATAAGGTCTTTTTGAATGGCAGGAAACTGCCAGTTACTTAAACTAAAATAAGAATTTCTAACCAAGTAAACTTCTACAATTTGCTTCCATTCTGCTTTTACAGGCTTAAAAGCTCTTACATCTAGTGGTTTCAAAAAATGAAATGTGTGAGCTGGCAATGGGAATTGAATTATGTTGTTTGATTCAGGTTATTTTTTTAACTCAAATTTGATGCGAAATGCACGGCCATCTAAAAATAGAAGTTTATACTTATGAAGTTTATTTGCGTGAACTAAAAAAATTGAACGAAACCGTTCTCTAAAATTTTCGGTTTCCATCCAATCTGATTTGCTGGTAGAATAGACATCAGAAGCTTCACCTTGAACCCAAGCTTTCATCAAATTTTGACCTTTGTAAGTAACTTGATGTTCCAAAAGCATCGCAATAAGTTAAAGTTGTAGTCTTTTGTTTTTCATTTGTTGGGGTGAGTTATTTTGGATTTTTTTAATCCTATTCAACAATGTTGACTTTACCTTGATCGAATTTCAATCCACTTTTATCACAGTTGAACACATAAAACGGCTTTTCATTTAAATTTTGCTCTGGCGTCACTTGGGTGAACCATTTATCAATAATGAATTGTTCACCAAAAATACTAAGAGAATGTCTTATTCACCTGAATATGACATATTTTTATGATGGATAGCCTAAATACACTGTTTAATTTTTAATGTCGTTAAAATGAGCAGCCGTGGTGCAGTGGTTAGAGTTTTGGCTCAGAACCCAGAGGTCCGAAGTTCGACGCCAGCTCCAGTCCAACAAGCGACATTGGTACGGAAGGAGGCGTGAACTTCTTGGTAAATGCTCTCCCGCGGTGCTCTGTGATAATACCTCAAGGACTTCTGGGAGCACGTAAAATAACTACAAAAAAAAATAAATATACTATAGTTAAAAATTGTTTTTTATTACTCGTGTGTAAAAACGCTAACTTTTGTACACACTCACACAAACATTCCAAGATCAATTCGGAAGTAGGGAAACGTTTAAATTATGCAGAAAAAGTAAGGTTTTTTTTTTAAATATCTACAAACTATTGCTGATTTTTGATTTTTTTTCCAGATAAGTAATCACCGTTAAATTCTACATCGAATAGTATGCAATTTAATTTGCATTTTTTTAAAAGTCGGTTTTAAATTGTTGGTTTTCAGGGTTTTACTTGCGTTTAAAAAATTTCATGGTATAAATATATATTTTTAAAATAATTTATCATATTTTTATTAGTCTTGTATTCCGATATATTAATCAGTTTTCTATTTTAAAATCCCACAAAAATAAAAGACGTAAAAATAAGAGAAATAAAGCTGTTTGGGACTGATCAGTATTAGAAAAATCTGCGGTATATATTTTAGTTACTTCTTTATGGGATGGGAGAGAGGGAAGGGAGTGCTGCTACATCTGCTATCTTATAGCCTGCTGCTACAAGGTAGTAATGCTTCATCGATAATCTTACAGCCTGCTGCTACAAAGGGTAAGCAATCTATTATTTTAAAAAAATAAATAAAAAACTTTTTTCAAGTTTTTCAACTTTTTGCGACATCGGTAAGGAAGGAGGGGTTAACTTCCTATTAAATGCTCTTCCGTGGTGCTCTACGTTAAGACAGCTCTTACTGTCTTATCACAGAGCACCGCGAAAGAGCATTAATTAGGATATTCACACCTCCTTCCTAACCGATGTCGCAAAACTTGTTCAGAGGTGGAGTTCAAACCGCGGGTCCTTTATTTCTGAATCAAGTGCGCTACCTCTGCGCCACGCTGCTATAAGTATATATATATATATATATATATATATATATATATATATATATATATATATATATATATATATATATATATATATATATATATATATATATATATATATATATATATATATATATATATATATATATATGTATATATATATATATATATATATATATATATATATATATATATATATATATATACACATATATATATATATATATATAAAATAAAAATCATAAGTATTGCTTACTTTATAAAAATAGTGACTAACCTGATTAAGTTAGAGGTAAAATTTAATGGAAGAATGAATTCATCTGTTAAACTTTTAACTTGCTTCCAGATTGATGAAGATTCACTCGAAAACCAATTAACAAGATCTTTTTTCTCACTGATGTCATTCAAAAATGGTTTATTAGACAGTCTAATAACCTCGACTATCTTTTGATAAGGTTTGAAATTATAATATTCATCTTTTAACACAAATCTCTTTTGCTTTACAGCTTTACAACTTATTGTTTTTTAGCATTTTTTTTTTTTTATAATTAAGTTTATCCACGCCTAATTAGTTTGCGCATAAACAAGTTTTTTTACTTTTTTGGTTGTCGTCAAATTTGCTCAACCAGAATGCTAAAACTTGATAATATTAACTAGACAACACGCAAAATTGCTCACCTTTTAGCAGCATAAAACCACAGGTAAAATTAAGAATAAATATATACTAATATAATATATAAGTAAATATATATAAATAAATATATATATAAATATATATATGTATATATATATATATATATATATATATATATATATATATATATACATATATATATATATATATATATATATTATATATTTTATTATTTTATGATATATTTTACGGCGAGCAAAGATGGCGGATTAACTGAGCATCAATTTACTTTTCTTTTAATCCGTGGTTATCAAACCAATCACCAAAGAAAAATGAATAAAGAACATAATCAATATACTCATAATTCAATATATTCATTTGTTAAAAGTTGTTTGAAAGTTATTTTTTTCTGGTTGTTGTTTTTTTGCTACTTGTAAAGTTGTTCAATATATTCAGTTGTTGAAATTCGGATATTAGTTTAACATTTTTCTTTCACATTATAATATAATTGATATAATAATATAAGATTTTTTTAAATAATGGCAGTAACACTTGTGGAAATTTAAAAAAAATGATAAAAGACTTGTTTACAAAGTACAAAGTAGAAACAGAAGCTGCACTAAAGCAACAAGAAAACAACTTTATAAACATCGTTAGTGCAAACACCAAAATCTTAAACGAGAGATTGGACAAGCAGAAAAAAGTATTTTAGAAAACGCTAAAAAAATATCAACACTTGCAACAGAAGTTGAAGAAATAAAAATTAGTTTAAATTTTTATGAGGAACTCATTGAAAACAAAGTTAAAACTGCGTTAGATATTTTCATAAAAAATAAACCTACTCACAACGAAATTCAAAATAACAACATTGAACTCAAAAAAAATAAATAGCAAGCTACAGTGCCGGATATATATATATATATATATATATATATATATATATATATATATATATATATATATATATATATATATATATATATATATATTCTAATTAAGATTCTTTACAGAAATCTACAAAAGTTTAACAAAGTAAAACAAACTTAAGACTCCTGTCAACAACAAAACGACAATAAAATTATCCAAAGAAATATCGCTATAGTACGTTCTGGAATCACTTTCACTGAGTCAGCAAACCCATTAAACCAATAAGATTTATTGGCTCGCTGACACAGCGCGTTTCCAGAATTTCTCGAACTTTCATTCCTTCGCACCATTCTCCTCCTCTTCGATGTGCCGTAGGCTCATCGATCGATGATTTTTATCGCTTATTGATGGCTTCTCAATTTCATTACTAATTTTGCATTTCAATAAACATATGCGAGATATAGGTTGCTTAACTTCACTATTTCCCACTTTCACTTTTACAACTCTAGTATAACCATCAGCGCTAGAATACGTCTCTAAAACTCTTCCTAATGGCCATTTTCCCCGCGGTGTATCTGGTGATATAAATAAAACGACATCTCCTATCTGAATATCACTTCTTTCAAGAAACCTTTTTTTCCTAGAGTTTAAGGTGTAAAGCCACTCTCGTAACCATCTCTTCCAAAAGTGACAAATAAGTTCTTGGATTCTGCGCCAACGTTTTTTTAAGCTAAAATCCTCGGTATCAACGTTTTCCGGTGCAAATTTGCCATCTACTCGACCATGTAAGAAATGATTTGGTTTTAACGGGACATCATAGTCAGGATTGCAAGACTGATATGTTAAAGGTCTTGAGTTGATTAATGATTCTGCACCTGTAAATGCTGTCACCAGTTCTTCATCATTAATATCTGCATTACCCAAAATAATATATATAGCTTTCTTTGCTGACTTGATCATCGTTTCATGGACTCCTCCAAAATGTGGTCCAATTGGAGGGTTAAAATGTCATTTAACTTCTTTATAGGCTGTTGATTGTTTTTATTTTTATATATTTAAATTAGCTACAAGCTCTTGAAGTTCTCTATTGGCTCCAACAAAGTTAGTACCATTATCAATCATTTCCTTTGAAAGGCCACGCCGATTAACCATTCTATAAAACGCGCTTAAAAACAAATCTGTATCCAATCCAAATTTCCAAATGCACAGCTCGTGATCTAAGACAAGTAAACAAGCACAAATAACGTTTAGTTATTCTCATACCTCTTCCTTGCACTGTTATAAATGGACCACCAAAGTCAACCACTGTTCTTAAAAATGCGTGCAAAGACATTTTTAATCTGATCTTTGGTAATGGTGCCATTATCTGATTCCCGGCTTTAGCTTTTCGCTTTTTGCAATGCTGGCATTGATTTTCCCACTCACGTATTTCTTCTCTTGCTTGTAATATCCAATACCGACTAGATAGCTTTGCCAAGGTCTGATTAGTTCCACATACATGTTTTCCCTCTTCGTGATACTTCTTCACTATAAGTTTTAACGCCCATCACATCGTAATACACCATCCTCATCTATTTTTGGTCTTAAACATATTATTTTACTAGTCGTTAGTAACGGTTTTTTGGCTGACAGTGCTTTGTTCTCTTCTTCTAAATTCTCTTTTTGAGCAAATTTTATTAATTCATTTTCTGCATCAGTGATCTCTTCTGGCATTAGTTCTCCTGAAAATCTGCTTGCTTTTGATGACGTACAGTTAATGATAAAACGACGTACCCATGCAAGCACTCTTGTGAGGCGAATCTAACTTGAGAATCTCTGAGGTTGCAGTCTCCAGATGTTATCTTTTACACGCACTAACGAGGTCAAATTTGCTTTAGACTTTTTTACTTCTACATCATTGTTATCAAGTTTTGATAGTTTTCTTTACGGCCATTTTTTTTGATCAGCCAGAAAATCTGGTCCTATCCACCATCTAATTTGTTCTTTTAGTTCTGATACTGCGAGACATCTTGTTATGACGTCAGCAGGGTTTTCCTTAATTGGTACGTATCTCCACTGACTTACGTTTGTTTCGGTATGAATTTCTCCGATTCTATTAGCCACAAGGGGTTTAAATTTTCTACTCTGATTATGTATCCACCATATCACATTCATGCTGTCTGTCCAAAATGTCACTTACTAGTCGATACTATTATCCATGTATGTTGATTTAAGAATTGTTTCTACAGCTAAAGGATACTTTTCAATGTGTTTCTTTGCATTTTCTTGTGATACAAACTGTGCTAAAAAAGACGATGAATCGATACAGAACACTACTCTTTGGAATTTGAAAATGTCTGGGTCCCTGCTTTGATCTTTGATCAAATATTTGTAGATACATTTCTGCTATATCGCAAATCTTTGCCACAGGATATCGTCTTTAATATTAATTTTATAAGTTGCTGCGATACTGTAACTTAATCTCAATCCTAAAACTGCACCAAGTAGTTCTAATCGTGGGATGCTTAATGCAGATAAAGGCGCCAATCTCGACTTGGCTGCAATAAGGTTAATGGAAATTTCGTCATTTTTATATTGACATTATGCATAAGTTACAGCTCCATATGCGATTTCGGAAGCGTCTGTAAATGTGTGAAGTGAAAGTATAACTAAACTTTGATTTTTTTGTTGAATGCATCTTGATACTTTTATGTCTTGTAAATCTTTCAACTCTTGGAACCATTTAGATGCTAATTGAGATTGTTTAGGATCCAAAGATTCATCCCAACTAATCCCACTGGTCAACATCAGCTTTAAGAGCACTTTTGCTCTTATTGTATAGGGTGATAAAAGTCCAAGAGGATCAAATAGTGTTGCTATCTTTCTTAAGAAGTTTCTTTTGGTGAATACAAAATTTTCATCAGGTGCTTGATACTTAAATGTAAAAACGTCTTCTTTTGATAGCCACATAATCCCTAAAGTTTTGATTGACGGCAATTTTGATTGACGTCCAAATCTACTTCTTGAGATCTGTCTTTAGTTGTGATTTCTTTCAATAATGTTTCTGATTAACCATTTTCGTGCATGCATTCCAGCTAAATTCCAAACTTTATTTAACTGTTTGTATAACTCAATACCAGTTTTTTCATCAGTAACAGAGTCGATAATATCATCCATGTATGTCGATTTAAGAATTGTTTCTACAGCTAAAGGATACTTTTCAATGTGTTTCTTTGCATTTTCTTGTGATACAAACTGTGCTAAAAAAAACGATGAACCGATACAGAACACTACTCTTTGGAATTCGAAAATGTCTGGGTCCCTGCTTTGATCTAGATCTCTCCATAAAATGGTCGTGTTTTCGTAGTTTGATGGTTTATCCGAATAACAGGGAAATGAGGTAAATACCAACTATCACTATTAACTTCTAATTTTTCTAGCTTTTGAAGATATCCTTTTTCCTGATATTGTTTTATAACGTTTGAATAGTTTATGCTAATGTCTCTATTTTTTTATAATTTACTTTACTGTGTGTATTAGTCGATTGAGTACTGTAGTCTATACCAATTAAAATTGAAATAACTGGTTTTGGATCCACGCTCAAAAAATATTTTATTTTCTTTATTAGAAATTTTATTTTTTTCGATTCGGTTGTCTCGGTTAATTTGATTCGACTTATTTAGCAATTTATTGTGTGTTACGTTACATCCATTAATACCACATACTCTTGTTTTAGTACACAGACTTTCAGTCTGGTTGTTTCCCAAGCATCGATAACATAACTTATTACCTTTTGCCAATTTCCATCTATCTGTAGTATCAAGTTTTTTAAATTGGTTACAGTTCCACAAGGCATGATTTTGCTTACAAACAAGACATTTTAACCAGCATTTTCTCGTTTCAATTGTTCCGGTTTCACCAAAATACGATTGATCATGTTTTAGTTTATAACGACTAGTGCTTTGCAACCTATGAATTGTTTCAGCAGCAGAAATTCGAAACTTTGATTCTTTAATAATAAACTGTCGTAAGGTTTCAACATT